CAAGTGTGTACAGAAGTCAGGGGAAGCAGCCAGAACTAGCCACAGACTGCAAGTTGGCAGATACCTGCCAGGAAGGGGCCCATGGGCTTGTGGGTAGGTGCTCAGCTCAAGTTGCCCAGAACTCCTAGGAGGCCAGAGTCTGGGAGGAGCCAGGAGCTCTTCTAGGAGTATAACTTTAACCCTTTCTCTCCAGAATCTGGGCTTTTGTACCCTCTTCCTGACAGGGCATAGGTTCAAAAGACTGAGGAGTCTTCCTCTACTCAGGCCTTTTGTGTAGCCTGAGGTCCCAGTGCAGGGGTCACCCTAAGCTGTGTGAAGTGGCCATTGCTCATGGGACTGTCAGGGAAGGCTTCTCAGAGCAAGGACAGGAGGCATGAGGTATTGATGAAGCACAGAGGAAGCATTTAGGTAGTGAGAGTCCCATTAGCTCTTAACACAGGACTGGAGAGAAAGCCCAGAGCAGACCAGCCATGCTGCAGCTGGGCCTGGTGGGTCAGATTAGGATCTATCTGCCTCTTAGGGGTGGGCCTCTAGTCAAGATGTCTTGGCCCCACCTCCCCCACTGCTCCTAGTTGTGGCTGCTAAGTTTGCTGCTGACTTTTAGCACTAAGGAAGTCACTGCCTTAGGAGAGCACTCTGGGAGCCGCGGCGGGGTGGGGGGGGGGGGGAGGCGGGCAATGGGGGGGAAGTTGGGTCGGGCAGGCGCCTGTATGGAGCCCTTGCCCAGTCTCTGAGGCAGCAGTCCACTGGCAGGCCCGCCTAGCCAGCCAGAACCAGGCAGTTGCTTATTTTCAGTTCTTTGGAAAGATTTGTTTACAGCTCCTGAGTCAGTGTTTGTGTCACTTAAGGGAGGTGCTCTGGGAAACAACAAACTTCAACCCTAATCCCAAGCCAGAGGCTCGCTGCAGGGGAGAAACAGGGAAGGCAGTGGAGTGGGGAGACACCCCCCCTCCCCTGCTGGCCTAGCATTGAGCATGCCTTGGGGGAATGCTGTGCCCTAGTACCCTACTCAGGACTTTTTGGGCCTAGCTCCTGCCTGAGATGAGAAAACAAGACTTTGTTTTGCTCTGGTGTCTGCAGCTGGTGTCAGCTCTAGCTCCAGTGTATCCCCTGTTTTTTGCAAACTGTTGCACCTGGTCTGATCCTTGGTTAAATCTAAATTTTACTTAAGCTCAGACCTGTCTGTCTGGGTAGGGAGACCAGACAGAGGTTCTTAGCTCCATTTAGCAATGAAGACACTGAGATCCAGAAACAGAAGGTGTCTTGGTCTTAAGCAACTTGGACTGGGTCACAGAGCAATATTCCTTCCACTCCTTCCCACTGTCTCCCCTGTGATAAAGGCCCCAGGATGTCTTGAAGCAGAGGTCAATGGGGACACCTGCACCCACCATATCCTGGGAGCATGTGGCCTATTCACAGGGATCCGCCTAGGGATGCAGTGAGGGAAACCAGAACACAGTGGCTGGGATCTGAGCATATTTCAGACCCAAGAGGAGAACTTTTAGAGCAAGGGCTACATCGCCAGGATCTGGAAAAAGAGGGAGCTGTGAGCCAGAATAAGTGTGCTTGGTAGCTCACCTCCTACATTATCTGCTCATTCTGCTCCCCACTTTCAGAGAAGGAATCCAGACCTAGAGAGAAAGTAATTTTCCTCTTGGAGAAGAATTGATAGAGCCAGTGTTAGCTTCTTGGTTTGGCAAGCCCTGGGAAACCTCACATTTGCCTTCCATCACCACACCTTATTTCTTTTTTTTTTTTTTAAACATTTATTTTTTTAGGTATAGATGGACACAACACAATGCCTTTATTTGTATATGGTACTGAGGATCGAACCCAGGTCCCACCTGTGCTAGGCCAATGCTCTACCGCTGAGCCACAATCCCAGCCCACCACACCTTATTTCTTCTGCATGCTTTCTTTTCTCCCCAGCAGAGCTCCACCTTTGGCATTGAGGGCTCCTTTAAGAACCTGTTGCTGGGAAGGCCTATCATGTTCATGACTGGTGTCCAAGTGCCCAGAGAGAGCAGATCCCTGAAAGAGAGAGGTTTAATGAACAAGCTGGTATATTTCATAGGGCACTCTTGAGAGCTCTAGACATCTTGACTAGAGGCCCATTCAGACCATGGTGAAGCCAGTTTTGGCCTCCAGCCTGGGAGAGTGGTGTCTCTCTCTCTCTCTCTCTCTCTCTCTCTCTCACACACACACACACACACACACACACAGGCACACGCATACCTATCAGGTCTCCTGAGAAACCTCTTGCAAGTTACTCTTTCAAAATGCCTTCCAGAGAGGTTGTGTCTGTGGCTCAGCAACAGCACACTTGCCTGGCATGTGTGAGGCACTGGGTTAGATTCTCAGCACCACATATAAATAAATGAAATAAGGTCTATCAAAACTAGAAAAATTTTTTTAAAAAATGCCTTCCAGACATTTGACCCCAAGTATGACACCCACTGTCTAGACTTCAAGGGCCTGTAGCCCCTGCAGCTCTGACAGTCCTGCCTCCCTGGGAAGGCTGATGGCTCCTGCAAAGCACACACTGTACTGACCATTTTCTTGTGACCCCCACTTCCAGGAGTAGTGTAGGAGTATTTCAGAGGAACAGTTAGTACATTTGGGGGCATCCCTGCTCTGAGCAGCTTCCCTTATGCCCAATTCCTCCAGGGTTTATGTTTTTGGTTAGCAACCCTGATGAAGGATCCTTTACTACTAATGAAGATGTTTTTAACCCTTTTAAGGTCAACAAAAGCCAAACGTGGATGAATGTGTGTTCCATCTTTCCACACCCTTGCCCTGCCCTGTACACAAAGCCAAGTCCTGTCCCTGTCTTGTACCCGGGCCTGGGCAGTGGAGATAAGGCCCTCTAGGTCACTGAGTTAGGTGTGGGAGCTGGAAGGTTGGCTGAATCAGCCACACTGGATTCAGCCCCAGGGCAGATGAGGCCTAGCCAGCAGCTGTAGGCTGCACTCATGCTCTCCCCTGTGAGCTCATGCCCACCCCAGCTCTTTTGAAACCCCATCTGTCTTTGATGCCAGCTCTATGTAAAGCCTCCATGGACCTTATTAATCACTCCTTTCTAAGTGCTCTAAGCTTTAGCCTCATCTCTTTGACTGTTGGGTAGGTCTATATCTGTCTCCCCTCTAGCTTTCCTGTCCATGAGGACAGGAACCATGGCTGCCAATTGCCCATAAGCATTGACCAGATTGAGTTGATCTGAGGCTCCTGAAAGGCTTGATGAATCACCAACAGAGGTCTCTTATGCATGAACTGAGATAGTTGACCCTTGGAGCCATAGAAAGAAAGACCCATCTAAGTCTCTCCAAAATGGAGAATGCTTCTATTCTGGCAGATGGGGAAATAAGGTCTGATTTTAGGATTTGAGATAGAGGACCAAGATTTTAGGTCTTTTCTCATCTACCTCATAAACATCTCCCAAGCTCCCTTTTGCTGTGGCAGAGAAAGAAATAGAGCATAAGGAATAGCTGATGACCCAAATAGATCAGGAAACACTCACTTTGGATCTGGGGAGTGGAGGAGTGTACAGAAACACACAGTTCTGTGGAGACCCTGAGAGGGTCTGGTTTAACCAAAGACCTGGTGCATGGTAGAACAACCTCCACTGGTTCTAGAAAGAATGAGATGTTTGCTGCAAGAGGCAGCCTCCTCCCCACCCGCTGTAAGTCTCTGGTCACCACAGCTTGGTCCTACCCATTCACTGGCCTAGCAGCTGCCAAGCTACCAGCTTGAAGGTCAGTTTTCCACCCATAAAAAGGGACAGGTAACCTTGAGGGCTCCTGCCAGTCCAGAATTCTAACCACTAAGGAAGTGCATACAAACAGAGCAATAGACTCCCTTTATATCGTTCTGGCTGCTATCCTAATTCTTTGGTGGATCTCTGTGTCTCCTAGAGTTTAATTAACTCTGAGCTCTGGAGGCAGGAAATGACTTCTGTTCATTTCTGTCTCCCTTTCACAATTGACATTAAAAAGGATAAATGGAAAAAGGATTACTGAATGTTACTGGTCCTGGAAGCAACTCTAGCTAGGCCTCAGTTTCCTATTAGCAGAAGGTGGGGAAGGGGTGGTTGTAATCTCAAGGGTCTCAAGCTGCTGACTCAGTGCCTGGGGAGAATGCAGTGTGCTCTCAGTGATCTAGCAGCTTGGGAAGACCTTAGCGCATGGGATTTGGGACAGGGAAGAGATCTATCCATAGGGCATGCTGCATGCTATAAAGTCAGCCAGATTAGCCTGAGGGGCTGCTCCCAACTCCTTTTAGCACTGCCTCTTCCCAAACTGGCCTTCACCTCTTCCCCAGGACCCTGCTCTCAGTGCTCTCAGGTGGCTTTGCTGTATAGCTTTGAGCACCTTTAGCACAGGAACCTGACAGAGAATAGAAGAGAAGTGGGACGGGGAAGGTTGAATGAATAAATGAGTGAGTCAGAGAGGAGTTCAGAGGACCACAGTGCCATTACCCAGGCAAGCACTCAAAAGCAGAACAAGTGATGCCCAGAACGAGTAGGTATGTGCATCATGGTACCTGGCAGCTCCAGGAACTCAAAGGGCCAAACAAAGAATGTATTATTCACCAACATCTCCACGGGAGCTGGGTGTAGTCCCAGGGTCACTCGTGGGACAGTCCCAACTCCAGGCTATGACTTATCTAGAATCTTGCAGCAAAAGAAGGGGGATGAATCTTCAAACCTCTTCTAGAGAGGATAGCCCCCTCCTTCCCCAGAGATACAGAAGAGTCTGAGCCAGGTTCCTCAACTCAGCCGTGCTACTCAGAGCAGTAGGATTCCTCTGCACTGTGATTTCATCATTAATGACTCAGGGAGAATGATGGGCCTGCCTCATAGGGCTGAGGTGAGGATTAAACAAGGTGTGTGTAAAGGGCTTTGTAAACCAGACAGCTTTACCTAAGTGTTAGCCAAAGGACCAAAACATTAGGAACCAAAGTCATGTCCTCAGTGCTAACTTAGCTGGCTTTTTCCTCTCCAGGACAAGAGTGAAGCCACCAGGGGAGCCCTCTCCCAGAGGCCTTGTCGCCCCAGACCTAACTCAATCCCTCCCAACCTGCCTGAGGAAGAAACTCGCAGGATTGCTCGGATATTCTCTTCCCAGTTCTCCCAGAAAGACTGATGCAGCCTGAGTGATGAAGGGAAGGAGCCACCTGCCACCCTCCCTCAGCCTTATCCACTTTGCAAGAGGTACCAGGTCTGTTTCCCCTGGGGCTGGCTCAGCTCTGAAACTACCACCAGCCTAGTCCGTGGACTTATTCTGGAGGAGTGTTCCAAACCAGCCCAGCGTCCACCTTCTAGTACTCCAATTTCGTCCTCTGTGGTGAAGCGAAGACTAGAAACAAAACGGATTCCAGCACCTGAGTAGCCCACTCATCTTTTGACCAAGGGACCCAAGCAGGCATCTTCAATGGAGAAACTCCTCCTAGTGTCCTCCTGCTGACTGCTGACCTGAGCCCACCTCTATGGAATAGGATAGGCCATTTTTGCCTTAAAGATTGGAGCCTGGGGAGGGGTGTGTAGTTTGTATGCATCACATGTAACTGAGGAAATCTTAGGGCCAGCTCCAGTTCATTTGCTTGGGAATAAGGGTATTTTATAGAAATAAATTATTTTTATGCTGTGTTGAGTTAATAATAGGAAAGGAAGGGGAAATCACCTCCTTTAAACTGTTTATCTGATTGTCTGAAATTCTAACCATGCTTTTAAGTTATTGTTTTTACTCAGATCTGAGGTCATTGTTCCCACTTTATTTGAATATAATCATTTTGATGTTTGTATTCATGCACAAGTGTTTCTTGGGTTGGTGATTTGAATGGGGTGCTAGGAATTCATTTGTGCTATAACTACAGAAAGAAAGCCTGACAGCCATTCAGTTCCCCCAGAGAAGCTCATCCAGAACAGGGGACCATGGTCACCATGAGACTTCTAAGCTCCCCCAAATATCAGACTGGTCCAGATTAGAGTGACATCAGTATTTCCTTTACTGGTTCTTCTCCCCTCTTCCCACACACCCACCACCCCCTATTTCTTTCCCTTTGCTGGTTCTTGAAATCTGTCAGTAAAGTGGGAGGGTCTCCTGGAACATGACCCAGAGAACATGATCTCTGGGCTGGGCAGCTTGGACAGACCACAGCCAGTTGAGCAGCTACTGTAGACAAGTCTCTGTGGGAGGATAGGAAGGGGCACAGATGTACAGCGTGTACAGTGTGGCTGAGCCACAAGGCTGGGAGGGGATTTCCATGGAGGGCCCTGCTCTTCACCCCCAAGCTCATGTCATTTCACTCCAGTCCTCGGAACAACCCTATAACCTGCATATTTTGATGCCCCTTCTAAAGTGAAGCCCAACAAAGTTTTGCCTCTATTTATGTAGCTAGGAAGTGAATCACCACATAAGATAATCCCAGAAGTGTTACAAGGCTCAGTGACCAAAACAGGGTACAGCCAGTAAGTTCTCTGAATTCGGGGAACCTGGGGGTGGAGGAAGAAAGCATAGAGGCTACAGCAGGCAGGGAAGGCTTCCTAGAAGAGGCAGGTCTGGGGTGAGCCCAGAGAATTGGTCAGGCCATGGACAGCTGCAGAGAGAACCAGGAAGGCACTTTGGGCCCTGAGCAACTGGGGACAAAGGAGAGCAGTCTGGCTTTGCTGTGCCTCCAAGCTCATCTGTAAAGCACAGATACTGTAAGAACCCTGGCTTCATGGGGTCGTGGTGAAGATCACATGAGACGACATTTTGTAAAAGTGCTTGGCCTGCAGTTGGCACAGGTTGGAAGTTTAGGAAATGTCAGCTTCACCCCTGCTTCTGAAGCTCCTGGAGCCAACTAGTAGGAACAAGCTCACCAATAACTGAGGAGCAGAGCACAGCAGGTTGGGCCACAGAGGGTGCAAATGAGGCAGGAGCCGGGGGGCGGCAGCTGGGCTCCCTTTACTGCCCTGGGCCTGGCCTGCCCCACCGCTGTTTATCCTGGCTCTGTGAGCTTCAGCTTACCAGTGTGCCCCCTCCCCAGTGCCATAGAAGCTGATCTCCCTCCCAGGCCAGCCCAAAGATTCCAAGGTCCAGGGCTTCACCTCCCTTGGGGTACAAGAAACCTCCAGAGTCTAAGGGGTAAAGCTTCAGGTAAAGTATTCCTTCCAAATCCTGCTCCTTTAAATAACCTGATAAGTCAAGTGAGGATAAGGCCACAGGAGGACATGGGCCACTCCTGCCCAGGCTGAGAGTAGCCTCAGTGAACACAGAAACACCCTATGCAACTGAGACCCACCTTTTATGCTCACAGAACATGTTATTTACCAATATCTCATCCCCAGAAGTTGGATACATTTCCCAGTGATAGCTCCTTGAGGCAACATGACTTGGAGTCAGGCAGCATGGATTCTGGATATTTTTGTCCCCACCAACAGAACCAACTAGAGTCTCGCCAACTTGCTTTTGAGCACCTCATCCACAGACACCTAAAAATAGGTGTTTCTGATCATTCAGAGGCTGATTATATCCCAGCCCAAAGCGCCAACCTTGGAACTTCTACAAGGGCTGGACTCTGGATACAAGGAGCCCAGGTGGACAGACCTGCCCTCAGGAATCTTCCAGGCCAGAATAAGCCGAGCCCTCCCTCCCTCTCTCTCATTTTCTCCAGAGCCTTCTGTTCCCTTGTTTGATTCCAACTTGTCTCCCCATCATGTGTCCCCTCTCATCCCCCACCACCTCTAGGCTAGAGTTTCCAGGCAGAGCTCACTCAGAACCTACTTCCCTCAGCCCGCCCAATCTCAGCAGTCCCAGCAGCCCCTTCCCTTATACCACTGAGGCACCTGCCTGTTCTGCTGTCATTAAGGGTGGAGACAGATCCAAGGAAAAGGACAGGTGCAGCCCAAGCTTTGCATTATTAACCTTCTGACCACCTGCCCAGTGATCATGGCTCTGTGCCCAAGTCCAGAAATGGCCTCTGCCTGCTCCTCAGCCTCACCTAGTTAACTCCTTCTCCTTCCCTGCATTCTCCCTCTCCTCCCCTCCCATCACTTCTCCTCCATGTCTCCCTCCTCTCCTCCCTCTGTCATCTGAGGCCCAAGTTCAGCTAATGCCCAATCCTTATTCTCAGTGTCTATAGGAAGAGTCCACAGTAACTACTGTAAGAACCCTTCCCTCCCTGCCCCAGCTCCCTCTGTCCCCAGCCAGTCCATGCTGAAGCTTCCAAGTGTCACAGAGAACAAGGGTCACAGTGGATAGGCCCAAAACATTACAGTCTACAGGCTGAGGTCAGGCCTTACTTTCTTGTACTAGCCATAGATCTTGATGAGTCATTGTCCTCCCTGAGACTTGGTTTTCTCCTCTATAAAATAAGCATTAAAATATGAGGATCTTGGGCTTGGGATGTAGCTTCTTGCAAGTATAAGGCCTTAGTTCAGTATCCTGCATGGTTTAAAACAGTTGGGCACCATCTGTGCACCTGTAGTCCCAGCTACTGAAGAGGCTGAGGCAAGAGGATAGCTCAAACTCAGGAATTCAAGACCAGCCTTGAACTGGACAGCTTAACATGGTCCCATATTTAAAAAGAGAGTCCTCAGTAATCAAAAAGAATGAAGTATTGATGAGTGAGCTTTGAAAACACTCCTATGCTAAGTGAAGGAAGCCAATCACAAAGGAGCACATCCTGTACGATTCTACTTATGTGAAATGTCAAGGACAGGAAAACTATAGTGACCAAAAGTAGGTTAATAGCTGCCTGGAGCTGGGGAAGGGCGAAGGGATGTGACTGCTGAGGTGAACGAAAGTTTTTTTGAGGGATGATGGAAATGTTCTAAAATAGATTGTGGCTATGGTTGCACAACTCTGTGCTAAAAACCATTTGAAGAATGGTTTTTAGAAGAAATTAATTGCAAAGTATGTATATTATATCCCAGTAAATCTGTTATTTTTTTTAATCATGTGTTAATGTGAAGAGATTTTATACCTTTATTTATTTATTTTTTATGTGGTGCTGAGGATCGAACCCAGTGCCTCACACATGCCAGGCAAGTGCTCTTCCACTCAGCTACAACCCCAGGCCTAAATCTGTTATTTTAAAAAAATTGGACTCCTAATAGTACCTACCTCACAGCAGTATAAAAAGTAGAAATAATGTGTATAAAATATCTAGCACATAGCTGGCACTAAGATGATAGCTTCATTGCTAATATTAAGAGGAGGCTCTGAGAGCCCTGCCAGTCTATTTGGGGGGACCTTGATATTTAGACTCTCAAAGGTGACACCCCACATACACCTATCACTGAGGTAGCTCTTCACAACTTGAAGGAATGAAAGGGCCCCAAGTCAAGGGAGCTGAACCAGACCTGGAACTCCCTGACCCCCTCCCCTGCCTGCCCCTCTCCAGCCCGCCTCTAGTCAAGTGATCAGACTGTCAACCAACCTCTCTAGGATTAGGTTTCAGGTCAGCTGGTGTATAAGACCTGTGCCAAGCCAGAAACAGCAGAACAACAGTGAATGGCCAGGAGGAGCCATCGGATTCCTCCTGCCACCCCCTGGGATGGAGCCCTAGGGATCTACTGAGCTGCCCCTGCCCTGGCTGGGCTTACAGGTAAGACAAATTCCCCTCTCCCACTTACCCCTGTCCCTCCCCTTCTGCCTGTTCTCCCTTCCATGGAGGTTTTCAGAGGCAGCTAGGAACCATGATAAACTGAGAGAAATTCAGTCCAGGCCCCACCTTGTCAAGAGGAGGGAACTGCAGCCCTGGGAAAGTCCTCAAACCCCACACCATAACCGCACACTCGTGCCACTCACCCAGGACTCACCCTTACCCTGCTGGCTGCCTCTGGTGGAATTATGAAAATCCCCGCAGATATGAAATTACTTTCTCAGAACTTTGGCTCCAAATCTCCAGGATTCCCCTGAGCATAAAGCCCTCTCTCCCCATGAGGGTCCTGGACCCTTTTCCTGAGTAATGATGATAATGATGAGGTCCAGGCTAAGTCACCTGTCAGAGGTTTATGGAGCCCATGGTCACTGCTCAAATGGCTTCCTCAGTGGGGATGCTGTGGAGGGTTTGTCAGGGACAGTGGGGCTGGAGAGGCAATATGGATGGACATCTTAGAAAGGGTCATCTGCCCCCTGCTTCAGAGCTACCAGGGGAAAAATTGTGTATATTGCAGATTCCTGGGTCTCACCTGAGACCTGAATCAGGACCCCTAGGGCCTAGGACTGAGAATCTGCTCTGTAAACAAGTAGTTCAAGAGATCCTGAGCTCCACCCTGAAGTCTAAGACTCTGGGAGGAGCAAAAGGCACTGGTTGTGTGACAGGACTAGGTACCAATCTCAGCTCCATCACTTCAGCTAAAGCCTTCAAAGCAGGGCTACCTTACCTGTACATGTTATAAAGGGGTCAAATTAATGTCTACAAAGCCCTCAGCCCAGTGCCAGGTGCAGAAAGCACTCAGCAAAGTTTAATGGGCCCCGCAGATAAGACATCCCATCCTCAGGTTACCCAAGAAAGCTTCTGGAACAAGGATTCTAATCTCGACTTCCTCTTCCAGACAACAGCAAAAGTCTGCTGGCTTCCAGAGCTCTTCAAGTAACAGTTCAGGAGGGTGGAGAGCAGGTGGAAAGAGGTCAGGGACCCCTGGCCTCAGGGCAGCCCCTACCTTTCCCTGCCGTTGTCACCTTCCCCACCCACTCTCATGTGGCTTTTGTTTTCTTCTCAGTACTGGGGATTGAATTTAGAGGATCTCTACCATGGAAATACATCCCTAGCCCCCTCTCTCTCTCTCTCTCTCTCTCTCTATCTATCTATCTATATATATATATTTTTTTTTTTTTGGTTTTTTTTTTTTTGAGAGAGAATATCACTATGCTGCCCAGGCTGGCCCTGAGTTGGCCATCCTCCTGCCTCAGCCTGCCAAATCGCTGGGATTACGGGCACGCACTACTGTGCCACTGTGCACATGTGGCTTTTGACCTGAGTCTGTGCCCATCCATTCTGTTTCCTGTGGATGGCTCAAGACTGCCCTGGAATAGGCTCCAGTTTCACCTCTGGATGTTGCTCTTGACCAAGTTCAGATTTTAGCTCGTCTTGCTAGCAACATTCCAACAACCTCCTCACTGGTGCCTGAGCCTCCCTTCCAGCCCATTCTTGACAGCTGCACCAGCATCCTCTAACACAGGTCTGACAGTGTCATTCCCTCCCTGAGAACCACCAGCCATTCCCTGCTGTCCACTAGATTAACTCAGGCTTTTGAAGCCCTCTTCTATCCATCCCCAGGGGCATCTCTGATCTCATTTGCCCTTTCCTCACTTTAGCACGTGGGCTCAAACTCCTGGTTTCTCTGAGTGCCTTCAGAAGCACTTAACGGTATGGAGAAGTAGACAGTAGATCCTGCACCTGTTGGTGGGGCACCCCTTCTCAAGAAAGTGTGGGGTGCCAGGCATGCTGGCACCTGAAATCCAGCAACTAGGAGGCTGAGGCAAAAGAATTGGAAGTTCAAAGCCAACTTGAACAATATAGATCCTGCCTCAAAAAAATACAAAGTTCTGGGGCTAAAGCTCCCCTGGATTCAGTACCCACTACCAAAATAAATAAATAAATAAAAGTGTGGAATCAGGGGCCAGAGACAGCTGGATACAAAATGGATTCAGAAAGGAAGACATGCCTGATGGCCAGGGGAGAGTAGGCTCCCCAGAGAGATAGGCCCAGCCTCAGCAGGAGACAAAACCCATGAAGTGCCCCCTGCAGGTCCTGACCCAGCACAGATCCTCCACATCAAATGGCCTTGGGCAGAGGATGTCCTGAACTTACACACCCCTGATGGGAATCCCACCTCTGCTCACTGTGTGGCACCAGGCAGGCAGGTCAGTTTGAAATATGAAAGTAGAACAAAAACAATGTGTAGTGTTCTTTTATTAGCACCTGAATGGTTCCCAAATGTTTTATAGAAAGGATACTTAGCCAGCAGGAGACAATAGAGAACACAGCCCCCAAGGGTCTCCCCTACTCTGAGAGTCAGCCTGATTCATGATGCCAAGGCCCCTGCAGCCCAGCTCACTTCAGAGGAGAGGGCAGGGGAAATGCCAGGGCTCGTCGGGGAAAGAGGCCACCAGGATGCCATGGAGAGAGCCAGCTGCTCCCACAGTACATTCCAGTCCCAGCCTCCCTGCTGGGAAGGAGCCCAGGGGCCTGGCTGGCTTTCTGTAGGGCACAGGGCAGTGGGGAAGGCACAGGCAGAGAGTATTTCTTCCAGCATGCCTACAATACTGTCTCCTCAGCCAAGTTCACCCTGAGTCCCTGTGTCACCCCACAAAGCCCTTCCTGGGCTCTTCTTGGGTGGCAAATCAGGCATCAGGAAGACAGACTTAGGGGTGAGCCCAGGAGAGGCTAAGGCCTGACTGTCCCACCACACAGATCTCAGCTGCGCTGGCCCATTCTCTTCTCTGCCAACTGGGGCAATGGGGTGCTCAATGACCTTCCTCACCAGGCTCCACGTCTGACACTGCCATTCTCACAGGTTATTTGCACATCATTCAGTAACTGCAGAGGGCTTTAAATGCCTTAAGAAAAGACAAGAAGCACTCTACCACATGCACAGGTGCATAATTCCCCTCATAGTTTAAGACCCCTCAAAATGCACACAATCAGGGCTGGGGTTGTGGCTTAGTGGCAGAGTGCTTACCTAGCATGCATGAGGCACTAGGTTCGATCCTCAGCACCACATAGATGTAAAATAAAGATATAGTGCTCCCCTAAAACTAAAAAATAAACATTAAAAAATGCATATGATCATTGTAAATTGGACTCATCAGTGAGATTTATATCCCAATTTTAAAAGCTTAAAAAATAAAAATGTAAGTGCAAATCCATACTGGGAAGAATCAAATAAAAGCATCCTTTCTTCAGGGAAAGACTTCTTAAAGCCACACTATTGCAGGCTTCCAGATGGGGATCCAGTAGCTAGTGAGTCCCAGCCTCAGCCCATACCCCCCATCTTATCCCACCTCCTTTACTCTCTTTAAGTAACTCTACACCTTTTCACCTTCCTTATGAGAATAGGAACTCCTTGAGGGCAAGGGCCAAACCCAATTTATTCCATGTCTTTTTTTTTTTTTTTTTTTTTTTGCTATTGCCTAGCATGGTGGCCAAGAAATATCTGATCTGGGTTCTGGGCCAGGGTATAGCTCAGTGGTAGAGCTCTTGCCTAGCACGTACAAACCCTGCATTTCATCCCCAGCACAGCAAAATGTTTTTTTCATGAAATTTTCATTTATATATTAGTATGAATTAGCAGATCATTTCCTTCCAAAGAACAGGCTTTTCAGAGGCTGGGATTGTAGCTCAGTGGTAGAGCACTTGTCTGGCACGTGTGAGGCACTGGGTTCGAGCCTTTGCATCACATAAAAATAAATAAATAAAATAAGAGTATTGTGTCTATCTAAAACTAAAAAAAAAAATTAAATATTAAAATTAAAAAAAGGCTTTTCCAAAGAGAGGTGTAGCAAGCATTAGTTCATGGTGCCTGAATGGAATGTGTGGCTTGAGGAGGCAACAGAGAGAAGAAGGTTGTAGATGGCAGTCCTGAAAGAAGGCTTAAGAGTCACTAGCTTAACCCCTATTTGGGGTGGGGGAGAGGGTACCAAATATTGAACTCAGGGACACTCAATCACTGAGCCACATCCCCGCCCTATTTTGTATTTAGAGACAGAGTCTCACTGAGTTGCTTAGGGCCTCACTAAATTGCTGAGGCTTGCTTTGAATTTTCAATCCTCCTACCTCAGCCTCTGGAGCCACTGGGATTAAAGGCTTATCCTCTATCTTTGGGCACCCAATTCACTACAGATGGCTGGGGTAATCCATATTCCCATTTGTCCAAGAGTGGTTAAATGTGTACCTAAGATCATGTCACTCATTAGTAAGTCTTGAAGACAGGACCAGACCCCAAATTTTCTGGTCACAGGCCCAGAATTCTATTGCCCTGTAGGGAAGGTGTGCACACTCTGCCCACTTCACAATTCTGTGGGACTGGCTCTGGCTCCAGGCGTGGGGTCACTAAAGGTTCAGGACCTCAGCACACCAGCAGTGTGTGTGAGTCAGGGTGCTCGTGGGCATGACCTGCCAAGAGACGGCATCCTCACCAAAGACCTGATTGTACAAATATTCAGATTACAAGAACACAGGACTGCCTATGATGGTGTGCCAGTTTCTCAGTGTCACCAAGGCTATACATAGACCTTCACATGCAAAAGTGTCCTTGTCTGGTAATAGGGTGCAGGCACAAGTGCACACCAGTGTCAGCATATATGTACGTGAACTAGAGGTGTACATGGGCTCTAGCAGGACAAGAGAAGACAGCACATTCCCTTGGTCCAAGATTGATCCTCCCCTGTCTGAGATGCTCCTCAGTGAAGTAAGGAAAAAGGGGGCATGTGCCAAGCCAGACAAAGCAGCTGGGACTGCCACAAACATTCATGGAAGGCGCCGCATTAGCCCATCTCCCTCAGAGCTGACTGCAGGATGCAGCAGCTAATCAGTCAGGGCCCACTCTTCCCCCAGCTCCACCAACAGCATCAGTCCAGGAATCCATCAGTGTTAGGAAGGAATGTCTCTAGTCACAGAAAGGGAACCACAACTGAAAAGAGTTTTATTTACTTTATGTATGAGTATATTAAGGCATCCTTGTGTAAAAGATATCTTTATCCAAAATGAATGACAGTTTCATTCAGTCGTGAGGAGTGTTGGCTCCAGTTGTTAAGGAGAGAAAGATCTCAAGTGGTGAGACACCTCAGGGAGCAGGATCACCAAACAGCCTGTCATAGGAAGCAGCTGCATGCTGGGGAGAACAAGGTGTGTGTGGCGTCAGGGCCAGGCCTGGTCCCTGTCAGAGCCTGTTTCCTCATCCATACAATGAAGATAGCACCACCAGCCTGCTCCCTGGTGCTGAGGGGACAGGGTGAGGATTGCAAGATATGAAGGATGGGAAAGTGACCTGTTTTTATAGGCTAAACTCAGACAACTTAAGTGTGGCAATGCCCAGGCTTCTCACTTTCTAAAGCTCCTTCCGGCTGCAGGGTACCTGGAGATGGGGCAGGGTCAGGCAACCCTGGCTCCATCCACCTCCCCTGGCCTCCTCCTGCAGCCTTCTCCCTGCACTAAGCCCAGAGCTACCAATTGACCTCTCTCTTTGGACATCACTGGGCTCTGGAGGGACAGGGTCAATCTTACTGAGAGGATGGTTGGACTGAAGCCTTCAGAAGTGCCTCCCACCACCGCTGTGAAGTGCCTGGGGGCGGGCACTGCGGCCTGTTTCGCAGACCTCCTCACCTTTCCACTGGATACAGCCAAGGTCCGCCTGCAGGTAGGTACCCTTTGGCCAAGGGTAATTGTTCACATCAAAGGAAGGGTTAGTCACCCTCCACAGCACCTTGGCAATCTGTCAATACACACTTCCTCGCTCAGGGCAGGGGAGGAGTGGGGACTACACTCATTACCCAGGACAAAAAAAAATATCTAAATGCCTTGGCATGATGTGGCAGGTTCCTTCCCTGATTTGTAAACCAAAATGTGTGAGGTAAAGTTAAGGCATTAACTGTGACCTTGGGCAAGCCACTAACCATTTATAAAATAAGGAAAACAATCCAGGTGGATGCCTATAATCCTAGCCACTCAGGAAACTGAGGCAGGAGTATCCTAAGTTAAAAGCCAGCATCAGCAACTTTGCAAGGCCCTGTTTCAAAGTTAAAAATTTTAAAAGGGTGAAGATGAAGCTCAGTGGTAAAGCACCCCTGGGTAAACCAGTACCAAAAAATAATAATAATAATATATTAATTAATTAATTAGTTTATTAAAATGTGAAAAATATCTGCCCCTCTAATTTGTTCTGAGGCTCAAACGCCACACCCCTCCTTTGTGAACCGTAAAATGCTGCACAAACCTCAGTTCTTTTCACTGTGAGGTGATGGTCATGCTTGTCCTCAAGGTCCAGTCAGGCAGGTCCAGCCCAGGCGGGGCCTCTGTGCACACAGCACTTTCTGGGAACCCACCCAACAACTCGGGTCCCCATGGTTGTCCCTCAGATCCAGGGAGAGAACCCGGCGGCACAGAGCGTGCAGTACCGCGGCGTGCTGGGCACCATCTTGACCATGGTGCGCACCGAGGGCCCCCGAAGCCCCTACAACGGGCTGGTGGCCGGCCTGCACCGCCAGATGAGCTTCGCCTCCATCCGCATCGGCCTCTATGACTCTGTCAAGCAGTTCTACACCCCCAAAGGAGCGGACAGTGAGTGTCCGCTACCCTGTGGACGCCAAGGGTCATGTCAGGCGCAGCTCGCACGTGGGTCAGCACACCCTGCCAGGCCAGAGCAGAGGCAGAGCCCGGCCTAGGGAAACTGGTAACAGATGCGGGAAAGGAGGCTCTGACGTGACAGGGACACAAGGACTCCAGTCCTTCCATGGAGGAAGAGGGCCAGCAGCACAGGGCGACCCCGGGAGAGCGGGCTGGGGAGAGGGAATTTCAGCGTGCAGCTCTGGCCCACTCCCTCTGCTCTTCCCCAGATTCCAACATCGCCATCAGGATTTTGGCGGGCTGCACCACGGGGGCCATGGCAGTGACTTGTGCCCAGCCCACCGATGTGGTGAAGGTCCGTTTTCAGGCCAGCGTGCGCCTGGGGCCCGGGAGCCACAGGAAATACAGCGGAACTATGGATGCCTACAGAACCATCGCCAGGGAGGAAGGGTTCAGGGGCCTGTGGAAAGGTAGGCTCCCGGGGACAGGGGACCCAGCATGGCATATTCCACTAACTCCATATGAACGTCCCCAACAAAGAAACCTCCCACACTTGCCTCAGATTCTGTTCAATTTACCAATCCTTCACCTTCTGTCAGGGAGCTAGAAATGAATGTGACACGTCCTCACTCTGGTGCAGAAGAGATAAGACAGGTCAAGCAGTCTACACCTCAAATAAGATGTGCCAGGTGCCCTGCCAGAGGTGGGAGAGACCAGGCTGGCTCCAGAGAGAAACTGGCACCTAAGAGGGTTTCAAAGACTGAGGAGGCTCCAAGGGTGTGGAGATGGAAGGGCAGGGCCTTCTGCAGGACACAGAGCAAAACCAGGCAATGGAGGAGCCCTATTGAGAGGAGTGGGGTGCAGTGAGACCCAGAGAGGAGGGGACTTCCTTGGGAACAAAGACTTGAGTGTTCCTATATATCTACACTGGTGCCACCTGAACAAATGCTAGACTCTCCCACATCTGGGCCAGATGTGTGAATCCTTACAGAAGAAACAGTTGTCCTGTGTAGTTTAAGGGTAGGGTGCCTGGGTCACAGTACTGGCTTACACTCCATTTCTGGGTGCCCTTCCATCCCCAAGCCTGACCGCCCCCCACCCCAGTGAAACTACTCTTCTAGAGTCCTATTAATGCTACATTCTGTCACTGTCCCAAGAACCCAGATTTGCTCTTCCAAATATGACTTCTTTTTCTGGCTACACCTGGTGTCAGGGGGTGCATTTTAATTTTGACAACTATTGGAGATTATCCTCCAAAACATAGCCAAATGAACACAAGTGGGCCCCTCTGTTTTCTTTCTCTAAGGAAGATCTGAGAGTTGTTAACTCTAGAAAGAAGAATGGGATCTGCTTGGATTGGTGTGTGTTGTGGGGAGGTCCTCCTAGCTGAGATCATGGCAGTGGGGCACCACTGTGGTCCTACAGCCAGGACATCCAATTCACCATTCCCCATTCAACAGCTCCTGCTACCTTCTTCACAGGAACTTGGCCCAACATCACAAGGAATGCCATCGTCAACTGTGCTGAGATGGTGACTTATGACATCATCAAGGAGAAACTTCTGGACTCTCGCCTGCTCACTGGTGAGGCCCTGGAGTTGGCATCACCCACAGGCAACTGAGCTTTAAAAGGAGCAGAGAGAAGAGCAATGCCCAGTTCAGGACTTTGACAAGTAGGAAAGAGGCCTGGGCCACAGGCCAGAGCCCTGGGCTCCAGGCACCATCTCTTACTGTGTGTCTGAAAAAAGGTTTCTCACTTTGACTTCCATTTCCTCCAATAGAGTATTGGGCTGCGTGACCTTATTAACCAGGGACACCCATTTCTGATTTGCTAGGACTTAATGAGAGATCAAACCTGGTACTATGAAAGAGAGAGACAGTACTTTCCTGTGCTCAAGGAGTCAAAGTTGAATCACAGATGATGAATGCACGTGGTGCACTCACTCCTTGATATTTGCTCTTCCTCCCCTTCTACAGACAACTTCCCCTGCCACTTTGTCTCTGCCTTTGGAGCTGGCTTCTGTGCCACAGTGGTGGCCTCCCCAGTGGATGTGGTGAAGACGCGGTATATGAACTCACCCCCAGGCCAGTACCGCAGCCCACTGGACTGTATGCTAAAGTTGGTGGTCCACGAGGGACCCACAGCCTTCTACAAGGGGTAAGCCTCCCCCTGCCTCCAGCACCCCCTCCCAGAGAAGTTAGTCTTCCATGTTGTCTAACGTGCCTGCCAGTCTATCAGGAGATGCAGTGAACAGAACAGATGTCAATGCCACAAAGGAGAAGTGTCAAGAATTATGGGAGTTAAGGGCTAGAGCTGTAGCTCAGTGGTGGAGCACTTGCCCAGCACATCTGAGGCACTGGGTTCGATCCTAAACCCCACATAAAAAAATAAGTAAATAAAGGCATTGTGTCTACATACAACTTTAAAAAAAATTTTTTTTAAATTATGGGAGTTTAAAAAAAAAAAGTGAACCAAACCTGATTTGGAGAGTTAGGGAAGCCTTTTTGAGAAAAAGGAGTATAAAGATAGGTTAAAATACTAGAGGAAGAGGTGGTTTGTAATTCCCAAACCTTTCGGCAGCTTGTCACCCTGACTGCTCATCCCCACACTCGTGTCAGCAGAGGCGCCATACTCACTGTGCCAACACTACGTTTCTGTGCCTTTGCATTTACTGTTCCCTCAGCGAGGAGCCTTTCCCTCACCATCTGAATGCTCTTACTCCTAGCCATCCTTTTAGACTAATTCAAATGTCCCCACCCCCCTAACATTCTCATGTATAAGTTTTCCTTTCTCCCTGAGAACTTTGGCATTAACATTTGATTCTATCTTCATCACCTCCTGCCTTGTAGTGGAGTGTTGGTAAGGTTAAAGTACTCCTTACACTGGAGTGCAAGGTTCTTAGAGCTAAGGACCGGTGGCCTATCTGTCTTTCATCTCCCAGAGTCCCTATACAAAACAAATGCTCAATAATGTGATTTTAACCATCATCCTGATAGCTAAGCCCCCTACATTTTCTCAACAACCCCCTAACTATGTAGCAGACCCACACTAACCGAGGAAGAGAGTATGTCTCAGAAAAGTAACTTGTCGGAGAGCAAAAGTTAAAATGGCAGAGCCCTGGCTCAAACCTACTCTGCCCGACACCACACCCAGCATGCTATTGTGTCTCCCAATGGTAGCTCTTAGCTAGGCCCTCTCACCTCCACCACTGAAGCCATCAGCAGATAGTTAGTTTAGACCCAACAAGCAAACAGAAGCAACTGGAGGGTGTCAGTTGTGGGAGAGTGTTCTGCTAAGTGCCCCATTTGTAAAACCTTAATTGATAGCCACTTGTCTCAGTTTATTCTTCCACTTGCCAAAAATTTATTGAACATCTTGTGTGTACCAGGCCCTGTGATATGCATCCCTCAAAGAGCAGCAAACAAGTAGGTGACATTAGTCAATGCTTACAACACCCTATAAGGTAAATACTGTGATTTTCCTCATTTCCTTCTCAGTACTGGAGATTGAACCCCAGGGATGCTCTACTACTTAGCTCCAGCCCCCTCCCGAGTCCTTTTTAACTTTTTTTTTTTTTTTTTTTTTTGAGACAAGGTCTTGCTAAATTGCCAAGACTGGCCTTGAACTTGTAATCCTCCTATCGTAGCCTTCCAAGTAACTGGGATTATTTTTCTCATTTTAAAGATAAAGAAACAGGCTCAGAAAAATTAAGTCATCTTGTCCAAGTTTGTAGAGCCAGAAAATGGTGGAGCCTGACTCAAGTTCACACATATTGCCACAATGCTATAGTCCCCATGAGGATCTAGGATCCTCATGTGGTTAAGGTACTCAGGCTGAGAGTGACAAGCAACCAGCCAGAAAGCAAGAGAGTAGGGGACAGTCCAAACAGAGCGAGCAAAATGGACAAAGGCAGGGGAGTGAGGAGGCCCAGCATCGTCAGGAGACTCTAACTAGCTGAGTCTGGGAGCAGCAAAAAGGCCTGGGGTGGGAGTGGACACTATGGGATAGAGGCTGAGAAGAGGGCAGGGGCCAGCTGTCGGCTGCCCCCTGAACCCATGGGGCACAGTTGAGGTGGGGACTGTCTCCCCTCTGCCACCACAGCACAGGCAGGCTCTCCAGAGCTGAGCTCAGTTTGGTGCCCTGCAGGTCTCACCTGCACTGCCCCAGCTTCTCACTGTCCTGGTGGGACCCTCCTCAGGGGCAAGAGATCAGGGTATAAATGAGCCCAGGAACCCCCAGCAGCAGGGTGGAGTCAGGTCACATGGCTCATTTGAACCTTATATCTGGTATTTACTAGCTGTGTGGCTTTGGTTGAGGCCTCCCCTGGGCCGCAGTTTCTAAAACAGAAACCTGATGACAAACATAGTAACCATACAGAATTGTTGTGAGAATCGAGTGCCTGACATGATAACCTGGCTCAAAATGTTAGTTTTCTTTCCTCTCCTGACTCTAGCTTTTGTCTGAAGCCTCTCGGCAGAGAAGAAAAAATGGAATGGATCTCAGAAAATGCTTGAGACAACAGTCAAGGTCCTTTGGCACAATTCCATGCCAGTGAGGACACAGGAGAGCTCACAGTCCCCTCCTCCTAATGCTGTGGTTCTTTTTTTCATCAGATTCACCCCCTCCTTCTTGCGTTTGGGATCCTGGAACGTGATGATGTTTGTAACCTATGAGCAGCTGAAACGGGCCTTGATGAAAGTCCAGATGTTGAGGGAATCTCCATTTTGAGCAAGACAAGAAGGCTACTTGGTACTTACCTTGCATGAGGCCAGTTAAGGATGAAATAAAGCAGTGGACCCAGGCCCACACATGTTTACAGAACTGCGTACTTGTTGCTGATTCAAGAAACGGAACTGAAAGAAGAGGAAGGATTTTGGTCTTCAGTGCTTCGTCTAAAAACACCCTTGTTTTGCACTGACTTAATGGAAAATAAATTATATTAATTTTGAAACCCATTAGGTTGGATGCCTAATATTTAGGCAAGAGTAAACAGATCCCTCTGGATAAAAGGGAAGTTTGCACACTTGCATACCCAGATAAATTGGATTAGATGATGACTTATAACAGAAAGGCCACCAGAGTGGGAAGGAGTACACATGAAAGTCAGCTGAGGAGCCTCAAGGGACACCACTGATGCAACCCAAAGCTGAGACTGCAGCCTCCACAGTCACACAGGGATCATCTGCCTACTGGTCCTAATGAGTCCACCAAGGAGAATCCACTGGGATTCCAAGAAATGTGAGAAACAGAAGGGAAAACTCAAACCTGTGCCGCAGGAGCCCCGCAGGGCCAACCTGAGGCTGAGGCCTGGAAATCTGTCCTCCCAGAGAACACAGGAGAATCAAGGGGGCGCCTCAGTCCACTTCTATAAAATAGGTAATAATCTCTTCCCCGCCTACCTCACCGGGGTGTTAGGAAGAACAATGAGAAAGAAACTGGGCACGAATCCACTTTATAAAAGCGAAAGCTCCTACAGGCCTAAGTATGAGGACAATGCCTTGAGAAAGATTTTTTTGGAAAAGAGAGGAATTGCCAAGAAGTTTTTGAAAAACACAGTTGTCTAGTGGCAAGACCAGAAGAACCTGGGCTGCAAGTGACAGTGGATGACCGGAGCCCCACTCCCCTGCACCCCTGCTCCCTGGCCCCACTGTGAGGCACCTTGAAGGGCGTGGGGCTTGGGGAGAAGAGAGCCTGGCCTAGAGTCTGAAGCAGCTGGATTCAGAGTCTTTGGGAAATTAGTGTGATTCAGTGAAGTAATTCTGACCTTCAGTGTGGGAATAAGAACAGCCACTTTTCTGCCTTCTCTTTCTCGGATAGAATTTTCTCCCTTCAGGGTTTTTATTTGTCAGGGTGGAGCCAGATCTAACTCTGTCACTGTCCCTTTGACTGCAGGCAAGTTGATCTACCTTCTAGGGGTTTGGCTCCTCCATCTGCAAAAGGCGAAGTCGAGCTGCTTGACCTATTTTCAAGCTTAAGACTGAACATCTTTCAAACTGATAATGGGGACCCACGGAGCCAGTGGCCATTCTTGTTTCTCAGGAGCATGTTGTGGCTCTAGGACAGTAAGAAGAGGGTCTGGATCTTACCACACCCACCTTATTAACAATTACCCTCAGGGAATCCTTGCCCCTCAGAGTCCTCCTAGAGAAGCTGATGACAGTCCCTAGCTCACTAGCATGTGCTGGGGGTTGATCTAGAACACCCTGCAATACAGGAGGGCTCCTGTGTCATTTCTTCCTTTCCTGACCTGACTCATCCACATCAGGAAAAAGTGAATCGCCATCCTGCCTCAGCACTTCCTGACATTAAATTGTAACTTGAGATCATCTACATATACAAACTGAATAGCTCAAACAAAAGGGAAAGAAAGAAATTATTTTGATTTAATGTCTAATTTAACCTTTAAATAAAACTTCCACTTATAAGTTTCTTTCTTTTGACTTATATGATGTGTGCAAATCATTCTTAAATTCCTAATCTCCATTTGTAACTTACTAGGGGCCAGGAACATGTCTTCCATTAATTTCTATAGGGCAATATTTGGTGGGAGTGGGTACCTGGGATTGAATTCAAGGGCACTCAACCACTGAGCCACATCTCCAGCCCTATTTTGTATTTTATTTAGAGACAGGGTCTCACTGAATTGCTTAGCACCTCATTTTTGCTGAGGGTAGTTTTGAACTCGGAATCCTCCTGCCTCAGCCTCTGGAACCACTGGGATTACAGGCGTGCGCCACTGTGCCTGGCTCTATATAGCAATATTAATACATCATTTATTCAGGTGATATTATAGTGAGAGGGGAGGGAGGTAGATAAATTCTAAGAGATTTTTTTTTTTTTTGGTACTGGGAATTGAGCCCAGGAGAGCTTTACCACCAAGCTACATCCCCTGCCCTTTTCATTTTGAGAGTCTGTCTCACTAAGTTGCTTAGGGCTTTGCTAATTTGTTGAGGTTGGCCTGGAACTTGCCATCTTCCTACCTCAGCCTCCTGAATCACCGGGATTACAGTCATGAGATATGTGATTGGGATCAGGAATCTAGTGACCTCTAAGTCCTGTCTTTTGAAGAAAGGAAAACAAGATTGATAAAGTTTGAGGCTTCATGAACAAAGTATTAGATTTCTGTCCCTACCTCTTAAAGGTGGAAGTTGAACCAGATAACCCAAAGCTCTTTAATTCTGTGATTGTAAGAACTAAATTTCTTCCATGCTGCAGCATACATGCCCATTCTAGTCCTGATCTCAGTTCCAGGAAACCAGGAATGTGAACTCATGAGAAGATCAGATTACCAGCTGAGGCTTACCCCAGAAGGCTGACTCCTGGTCTCTGTGCACCTGTTCTCCCCACACTCCCCCAAATCACAGATGCCACTTCCAACCAAGTCGTTCAAAAAAAGTCTGCTTTTCCTCAAATTCTTCTAGTATATCATGCAAAAATTAGATAATTTGAGCCCAGACTCAGTTACAACAGAAATCATGTAAGTAATGGTGTTATTTTGATTTATCTTCAATTTAATTTAATTATTTGTACTAGGAATTGAGTACAACCACTGAGCTACATCCCCAGCCCTTTTTATTTTGAGACAGGGTTTTGCTAAGTTGCTTAGGGCCTCTATAAGTTGCTAAGACTGGCTTTGAATTTGCCATCCTCCTGCCTCAGCCTACTGAGTCACTGGGATTACAGGCATGTGCTACCACACGTGGTATTAAAGAATATTTTATTAAAGCCAGGCACAGTGACACACATCTGTAGAACCAGCTACTTAGAAGATTGAGGCAGAAGGATCATCACCTCAAAAATAAATTTTACAAAGGCTGGGATGTAGCTTAGTGGTAGAGCATCCCTGGGTTCAATGCTTATTGCTGCAAAACAAACAAATAAAACAAAATATTTTATTAAAGAGAAATTAATATTAAGTAAGGAAATACAATTGTATTTCTGCATACCACTTAATTTGTGTCAGGGCACTTTGAAAACGGCAGAGTGCTATACAAATGCAATGTGTATACATCCTAAGTGGCCCTTTACATTAGGTGCAGAGGTGAATAAGACCTGTCCTGTCTTCCAGGAGCTCTTCAGGGTGGAGGATGCTGAGCAGAAAGACAAACCACAAACCACCAATTACCACAGAATGGTAAAAGCTACAAATGAAGGTACATATGAAGCACCCAGGAGAGGGTGTTCAGGTGAGGGACACTGAGCCTGGTTTAAGAGGCCAGAAGCTTCTTGGGGGAAGACCTGAAGGACAAATAGAAGTTACACAGGCGAAGGAAGGTGGATGAGAGTCACTCTAGGCAGAGAAGAGCTCGTGCAGAAGCTCAGAAACAAGACAAGAACAGGGCAGCCTTGAGGTTGCCAGCTGTTGGTGTGCTGGGTTGCAGACTTGCAGGGGTGCAGTGAGAAAGATGGAGATGAGGAAAGTAGAGGCCACATGTTATGGACTGAATTTGTTTCCCCAAATTTATATATCAAATCCCTACCCCCTCAGGTGATGGTGTTTGGAGGTGGAGCCTTTGGGAGGTAATTCGATTTTGATGAGGTCATGAAGGTGGGATTCCCCAACACAGGGTTAGTGTCCTTGTAAGAGGAGGAAGAGAGACCCAGAGATCACTCTTTCTCCTCACCGTGTGAAGACACAGGAAGAAGGCAAGCCAAGAAGAGACCCACCCACACACACCAGAAACCCAACTTCGGAACCTTGACCTTAGACTTCTCAGTCTCCAGAGCTGTTGTGTAAGACAACCAGTGTATGATAGTCTGTAATGGTAGCTTTGTGATCTAATATGCCAACACTAGGGAAATTGTAGTGTCTGGGAAATTGGAGTGTTTAAGTAGGGAATAATGAGCTGCAGAACAGAGAAGGAATTAGAGGAGTGCACTCTGGTCCTAGTTGGATGAGACTGTGGTTGGAATCAAGGCAAGAGTCTTTGAAGTGGCAGTTGAGTGGATAGAATAGTCATAAATCAATGGTACTTGGTAAGATTCTATCTGGAAGGAGTAGTGAGAGAGAAGAGCTGCTTACACGTGTAAAATAACATACAAATAATAAATTCTACCATCTTGCTGGGCATGGTGCCACACATTTGTAAAGCCAGAAACTTGGGAGACTGAGGCAGGAAGATCACAAGTTTGAGACCAGCCTTAGCAACTTGGCAAAATTCTGTCTCAAAATTAAAAAATAAAAAAGGCTGGAGAGCTGGGGTTTTGGCTCAATGGTACAGCACTTGCCTATCACCCGTGAGGCACTGGGTTCAATCCTCAGCACCACATTTTAAAAAATAAAAATAAGCAAAATAAAGGTATCATGTCCATCTACAACTAATAAAGATATTTTTAGAAAGGGGGTGGTGGTTAGGGATGTGGCTCAGTGGTTAAGTGCCCCTGGGCATTCAATCCCTGGTACCACAAACAAACAAACAAACAACAATAAGGACAAAAAAAAAAAAAAACTTACCATCTTTTCTATTTTAAAAGGTACAGTTTTTTGCTGTTGGTAAAATAGTTCATATTGTTCTAAAACCATCACCACCATCCCTCTCCAGAACTCTTGAAACCCTGCAACTCTATTGAACTTGACTACTCCAAATATCTCATATAGGTGGAATCATAGAGTATTTGTCTTTTGCTTCACTTAGCATAACATTCTCAAGATCCATTCATTCGGTCTCATGTCCATTATTTATGCACACCATGTTTTTTTTTCCCTTTCAAATTTATTTATTTATGTATTTATCTTATAGTAGAATGCATTTTGATATATAGTACACAAATGGAGCACAACTTCTCATTCCTCT